AAAAGTACTATAGTTAATATTATTATTTACTTTATTAAAAGTATTAAAAGTATAAAGTACTTAGGCTATTAAATAAATATAAAAAGAAAGCTTATAAAATTACAAATATTATTATTAGTTAGTTTAATAAAAGTAATATTAAAAAAGTTATAAAAGTAATATAAATAGTTAATATAAAAGTAAATATTTATAAATAATAGTAAAAGCTTAAGAAAGTTATATTAAGTAATTTTCCTTTAGGTTTTAGTAATTTACTACTTATTTTAATTATAAAATTCATCTTTATTATAAGATAATTATATACTTAATATACTTTATATAATAATAATAATAAAGATATAAGAAAAAACTTAAAAAGTATTAAGTATAAGTAAGAAATAAGTAAATAAAATATAAAGAAGTATAATACTATAATAAGAAAAGATAATATTAATATAAGAAAAGAAGGAAAGAAGAAGTGTAATAGTTGCACCTAACTGCTAGGCTACAGGGCAAAAGATCGGGCTATAATTACTATGTAAGTGATTACAGTAGTGCTTATAGCTGCCTATAGAGCCTTATAGCGCTGTTACAGTAACTAATTGTAATAAGAAGAGTTATAGAAAAGAAAAGTAGTATTTATATTACTTAATAATATAAAAAGATAATAGTTATTTAATTTATATTAGCTTTTATAATTTATAGTAGAAACTATTAGTATTAAAGAAACTAAGTAATAATAAAAGCTAAAAATAATAATAAATCTATAGTTTATTTATAATATAGCTATAGTACTATATTAATAAATTAAAAAGTTTAATAAAGCTAAGAATAGCTTTTTAAGAAAAGGAAATAATTATTATAATTACTTTATAGGAAATACTTAGTATTATTAATTTAATTTTATAATCTAATTAAACCTTAGGTTTTAAAACTCTTAAAGCTAATATTACCTTTATTACTTATAACTCTATTTTAAAGTTTTTAAGCTTTAGTATAGTATTACTATTAAACCTAGTTAGCTTTTAAATTTATTATACTAGTATAATAATAAAAAAGAGATTTTATATTAAGCTATTTAAAACTAAAAAGAAAGAGAAAAAAAGGTTTTTAATTTTATTATAAAGTTATAATAAGAAAGGTTTATAATATAGATTATTTTATTTAAACTATAAGTCCTAGGTTAAATCTACCTTTTATGTTATAATTAATAGCAACCTCTTTTAGTAAAGTTAAATATTAATAAGTTAGGTATATATATTATATTAGCTACTAAACTCTAATAACGGTAAATAGAAAGTCAGAGTTAAGGCGGGCTAAAGTTAAAGGCTTTAGTTAGCGCGTTAATTGAATAAGATTACGTAACCTCTTAATTGCACCTGTAGTAATATAACCCAATAATATTATTAATAATATTATTAAGGGAATACTTAAAAGATAATTAAAGTAAAATAGTTATAATATTTTAGTTAAGCTATTAATATTATTAAGTAAAAGGTATATATAAATAAAATATATATTCTTTTATAATATAAGTAAGATTAAATCCTTAATAAAGCTTTTTAAAAACTTAAACTTTATTACTTTAAATATTCTTTATATTATATTTCTATAGGTTTTAAAGTTTAATTTATATTAAAAAGTAATTAAATTATATAAAGTTCTTTTTTAACTTAAAAGCTAATAGTATATTTACTTCTCTTAGTTTATAATATAATCTTTATACTTTTTAACTTAAATATTTATATAAACTATTTTAGCTTTAAAACTATTTATAAAAAAGAGGATTCTCTATAAGTATGTCTTTTTAATTAACTATAGATTATATAAATAACTATAATAATATAAACTTAATATTTTTAAGCTTTTTAAATAAATATATTAATAACTTAACCTTTTAAGCTTAATATAAAAGAATAAAACTATATAGTAAAGAGAGAGTTTCTTAATAAAGTAACTTAATTAAAAATAAAAAATATAAAGTTTAAAATATAAAGCTTAAAATTACTATTATAATAATTAATAAATAAACTTATTATATTTAATAAGTTAAAATATACTATTAAAAAGGCTAAGAAATAAAACCTATTTATATTATTTTATAAGGCTTTTTTACTTTTAACCTTTATTTATTTATAAAGTTATATATAGTTTTTTTAGCTTATAAATTTATATATTTATAAATAATAGTTTAGTTAGTAATCTTAAATTATACGTTAAGTATAGTATAATTTAAAGTAATACTTAGGATATTAGATATTAATTGTAAAATATACTTACTTATAAGTTAATTGCTAATATTACTATAATAGTTTTCTTTTTTGTTTTTATATATATTAAAGAAAGATTGCAGAGATAGTGTAATCTCTAGTTATAAACCTTTTATTTTAATATAAGGTTTTCAGTCTTATTAATAGGCTAGTCTTATAGCTTAACTAAAGCTTAAATACTATTTATCTTACTATTCCTTTACTAGTCCTTTTACTTATAATTATATCTTACCTGTATAATAATATAATTAGTAAACTATAATTTAAAGTAATAAAATATAGTTTTAAAATTAGTATTAAGTATTAGAAATTTAAGAAGTTACTTATTATTAAGTAGTTTTAAAACTAATTATAATAAGTATTTACTTAATTTAATTAATAAAGGTAATTAGTAAGGTATTATATAAAAGTTAAAAGAATTAAACTTAGTAAGAAGAAGAAAAATATATATTATTGTATTTAATAAAATAAAAATATATATCTAATTAATTATAAAAGTATTTAAAATTATAATATTATAAAGGCTTTTATAAAGTATTAATAGAAACTAAGATTAAAGAGTTATTATATTATTTATTATAATACTTTTATAATTATTATAATATATATAAGCTTTATTTTAATATTAAAAAGTATTAAGTAATTATTATCTTAATTCTCTTAATATATAAACTTAATAGTAAATATACTTATCTTATAATATATATATAAGTTATAAAAGTAATAAAGTAATATAGAAAAGTAATAGAAAGCTTTATTACTTATATAAATATATAAATATATAAAGATTATATATATTATATATATATTAAAAAGTATAAGTAATATTAGCTTAAATTACTTACTTATATAATATTATAATTCTATATTAATAAAATAAGTTTATATAATAACTTTCTTTAGATAGTTACTTTTAAATTATAATTATAAAATAAAACATTTAAAAATAAAAACTATTAGTTTTACTTTTATATAAATAAAAAGTTTATTTATAAAAGAAATATAATTATAATAAAGAATAATAAAACAATTTTAAAATATATAGTTTATAAATTAACTTATAAATATTTTAATATTAATAGTTTATAAATAAAATAGTTAATAATAAATTTTATAAATAATATTATAAGTTTAGATTTTATTATAATAAAACTATTTATAAAGTTTAAAATTTAAATTTTTCCTATTTTAATTAAATAAAAAGTCTTAGTATAAATAGTATAAGCTATTTTTAGCTATTTATTCTTAAGTAAATATAGTTTTAGTACTAAGATTACTACTTTATAACCTTACTAAACCTTTTACTATTAAATATTACTATTATTATTACTAAGTATTTAATTAGTTACCTACTTTTTATTATATATATAATAAGATAATAAGAAACTAGTATTAGATAATATTTAATATTAAATTATTATTTATATTTATTAAGAAAAGTTAATATTATTTTATTATTATAAATTTACTTATTAAGTAAAATAAAATCTATTAATTATTTAAGTTATTACTTATATTATATAGCTTATTACAATCTAATAAGTAGATTAGTTACCCTACATACAGCCCTACATTTTGTACTAATTATATTCTTAGGATGTTTAATAATAATTAGTACTAAGCCTTAATAATTAGCATTAATCTAATATAATTAGTACTAATCTACTAGAATTAGTACTAATCCTAAGATAACCTTACTAATTACCTATAAATTACCTAAGTATGTATATATTTACTTAGTATTAGTTAATATACTTAGCTTAATAGCTATTAATAATACTTCTTTACCTAAATACCTTTTATTTACTATTAAGAGATATAATATTAATATATTACTTAGTACTATACTCTATAACTCTATTAAATATAAACTTAAAATAAACTAGTTTACCTATTTAGAAACCTAACTATTACATAGCTTGGTAGCTGTTGTAATATATATATGTTTACTATTATTAGAGTTTAGTAGCTAATATAATATATACACTTGACTTATTGAGATTTGACTTTACTAGAAGAGGTTGCTATTAATTATAACATTGAAGATGGATTTAACCTGGGACTCCTAGCTAGGTGCGAGGGAAGGCCGATTCCCAAACACAAGTGGTAATAGGCCAACACAAACTACTAAACAGGAAAAAGCAAGCTGCCAAAGGGCAGGATCAGAGTGAAATACCTCAGGGAGCTATCGCTACGGAATCGTGCACAACAGACGCGCTTATGACTGGGAGGAACACGAGAAAACGTCCTCGAGAGCCACTAGTAACACTGCTCAATCCGCTCAGATGGAGGACGTTGAGTCGATACCCTCACGAGAATGGGACACCTGCATGTTGCCCGACTTTTAGACATAGAGGTCTGAACGTCTGAAGTTAACTTGGATGATTGACGTGGGAGTAGTTCCGGATCGACGTTGGTAATAACTGTCCATGAAATCGATACGGGACTACCATTTGCGTATGAGAAGGGCAAGGAAGTAAGTGCTATCTTGGTCGTCGCCAGATTCGCGAAACACTCCCAATTTACACCTGCACAAGACCCTGATGCTGGCTCGTTCCTCGCGTCTCAAGTTACGGCAAAGCCGGCTTCTAATTCGAATTGGTATCGATGAAGGGGAGTAATAACATCCGGAAGGATTCATCCTCTACCTATACAAAGCGCATTGTGTATACACGTATTGTGATCCGATTTTCTGGTTGACTGTCGTTCACTTCTTGTCCATTCACTGTCCTTTTTCTGTCAACTTCCTGTCTATCCAGTATCTCGATTCGGGTTCGGCTCGTTCGCCGCGGTTGGCGGTTGAGACTTTCGGACCTTGACTATCGTTATGTTACTTATCGTGTAGAGCGATCCATCTCACGCGGGCCTCTTTCCACGTCAATAGCAGAAGCGATATCGCTCAGGTCAAACGCAGTCTCAAAGATGCCCTGGTGTCTTGAGGCGTGAAGCAGAAAACCAGAGGTGAAATCCTTCCGGGAAATGTCGGCAACGGCCTGATCGAATGCTGTGCCCTGCGATTCGTGAACAATAATTGCGTAGGCAACAGTAAGTAGGAATTCCTTGCGAGTGCACGGATTGCTGCCGACAATGTATTGACGCTTGGATCGGAAGATAGGGGCAATTTTGGAAACCTCAGAATCCTCATGTCCGTAGTATTCACGGGCCGGTATAACTCTAGAATCGCACCACTGTTAGATCCGGATACTTACAGCGAGTGTCAACACCAAGTCGATCCTGATCTCAGCTGATATCTTCGACGACTCCAAGAGCGCCGTTGACCAGGCCAGCGACCGTCCAGAGGTTTTCCGTAAGCACCACTCTGGCACGAATACAGAGAACTTCATAGTTGTAACGAGACAAATAGCTCAGGACCCGATCTACAGCTTAGGGATACTCACGCCCGTTCGGAACTTGACGGGTGAAGTCAACCCGGGTAAGAAACCTGAAGTAACTATACTCTTGCCATCCACGACTTCCTCATCTTGGAAGTTATGCTAAATGTCGACAGCCTCCATCACCTCATTCACAACTTGGCCGGCAACGTCTCCATCGACATGCAATTAACTTGGAATAGTATCGTTGATATCACAGTATCGTAGACGGTGACGGGATGGTGATTCTCGAGGTGATCCAGCCTGATACGAATGCAGGACTGGCGGACACGGGATTCATTTCGGAATGTCTGACCAGGCGAGGTTGGTCAGTCTGACTCTGAGGCCGCAGCACAAAGATATCCAGGTCCCGAGGAAGAAGAGGAAGTTGGTTGTGGAAATGCCCCATGCCTCTGATGAAGTTAATGATGTGGCCCCTGTAGCAGTATTGTTGCCCGCGATAGGCCATCATCTGGATATGTGGATGAACTCTCGCACAGAGCATCTCCCCAACATGTGTCAAGTCTGGCAGGTGTGCTGGGACCTCAACAGGATCAAGGTCATCCTCCCGCGTCCAGAAGAGAGGCTGACCTTCTGAATTGGACTGTACGCGACGATGGTGCCTTGGCGATTGCACGATCGACAAACGCTCTGTCGGAGTCCAAGGTCAAGCCACTTGATCTTGCAGCGTGGCCAGTGTTGGATGACAGACTGGTCCATATCCTCCTGCCAGTACAACTTCACGTTGAGTCTGAGCCTGCGGTACTCGAGGTTATTGCTGATGTAGGCTGGGGAAGTCATGCTTTCGATAACCAGGGATCATGTACGCTTGCGCCCAAGTCTGCTGTACTTGTTCTGGGTAGGGATCGCCACTCGGAAAGAAGAAGAAGGTCTCTAGTCAATGGCCGAATTCCACCTTTATTAAGATGGCCAAACACTGGCAAACCTCAAACAAACGAGTCGGCAGAAGTACTGCGATGCCAATCACAAGGAACGAGTGTTCACCCGGACAGCTCGTGATGTTGCCAGCTGGGAATTTGAGCCAGAGAAGTATTCGGCTACAGGCACTATCACAGTCGAGGACCTCCACACTTCCTCACAAATTGATACAGGCCACTCCAACCCAGCCTTGCCAACAGTAAGTCGATTTTTTGTAGAACCACACGTGTTGTGCTGCAATACCGTACTCACTATACGTGTTTTGTAGGGTAACTTGGAAGGCGTGATAGCGTGGTGGGGAAACGTCTTGGTTGGATGTTACGGTACCTAGGTACTCGAGCTGGTGCCTGATACAAACTGCCTCCAGTGCGAAGGTACTTAGTGTAGATGGGCTGGCAGAGATGCGGTACTTCTTGACGGAGCGAGCCAGTACATCAGTCGCAGCAGGGGCCGTGTAGTGTACCTGATCTGGTGCATCTGACCCGCGGTTGCCCCATGCGAGGTTGTCCGTACTAGCTCCCAGTACGAGTGGAAAGTGACAAGGTACAGTATTGGCTGCAACCGCACCTCCCACGGTACGGAAGACCAAAACATCCCATGTAAGTAAAATGACAAGAGAGTGGCGGGGGGCCTACCGTAGCACCGCGATACGATGCGCGCCGCGTGGACTCGCCACGAGTCAACGGCGTCACGCGTTCAAACTGAAGGCAAATCTACGTAGCTCAGCCGGGAGAGCACGAGATCGAGGTTTGTGTCGGCATAGTCAAAGACAGCCAGATGCCCTATCATTCTAACCACAACCGCACACACCACCATGACGTGGAAGATCGAGTGGGAACCCTATAGATTACAATAATTACTATAAGCGCTTTTCTTCCTTCTAAAGTTTAGTTGTTAAACACCTCCTTATTAATGTTGAAGAGAAGAACCACAAGATCGTACAAGATGGTACTCACTCTTGATTTCTTGTTGTCCTGCATTAATGAACAGGATGATCTTTAAATGTTTCTTTGTGATGAACTTTTGTATAGTTCGACAGTATATTCTTTATCCATGCCTCCCTCATCATTAAAAAGAAAACGAGGTATTATAATATCATTGCCCAGTTAATAAATTTTATGCAAGCCCAGCATTAGGTCTACCTAACCACTTATCCAGCCAATCTATATACTTACTCTCTATCTATATAGCTAAAATTCTCAATATAGCAATAAGATAATAAATATCCTTTAAATCTCTAGTTAACCTAATATAGCTATGCTTAGCTATATATTAAACTAATATAGTTAATATAATACTAGTTATAGAATAGATTAAAAATAAACTTATAATCTTAACGCTAGTATTACAGGTAAACATTAACTTCTACTTATCCTTAATAACTATTATTAGCAGTAACGTAACTATCCTACTTATTTACTGCAGCGCAAGAAGATATATATACTAATACCAGGCTATAACCTAGAGACCTAGCTAGCTTCTTATATCTTTAAGATTCCCTTTTCCAATCTTGGTTTTAATTAATAAAGTAATCAGGTTATTTTTAATAGGGCTATATACTATTTAGTTAATAGTACATTTATTATTAGGTTTACTAGAGAGTATATATTATATATACTACGCTATTAGCAATAGGGGATAGATAGTAATAACCCAGTTTACTATCTTAGATCTTATTATATTATAGTAAGACTTTACTTTTATACTATAGATAAAGCTTTTGCTAATTTTACCATAGGTAATAATCTTATAACTAAGGGATAAGTAAGTCTCTAGGGCTATCTTAAGAAGTAGACTATAAATATTAATATTCTACGTAGACTTATAGGCTTAGGTCTATTAGTAAGATTTTACTCTTACTAGGATATTCTAAATTCTAGTTAATTTAAGTAAATACTATAAGGTATCTTTTTCTAAGTACTTAAAGTACTACTACTTATAACTTAGGTTCTTATACTTAGTCTCTATAATATCTTTAATAGCTTTTAGTATAAACTATTTAATATTACTAACTTAAGCTATTTTCTTAAATATTAGTAGTATATCTTATAGTATATAATCTTTTAAAGTTACATATCTAATAAAGTATACTAGCTTAAGGAGAAGCTAAAGTATTAAGTACTTAACTAGGCTGGAAGATCTAGACTATACTAATAATTACAATCTTAAAGAGATACTTAGTATCTAAGCCCTAGGAGTAGGCAGAGGTAGATTAATAGAAGGGAAAGATTTTAGACCCCTTAGAGTTTCCTTAGTATTAGAGGGACTATATATAAACTAATTTATTAAAGTATCTTATTAAGGCCTTTTTAGTAAATAATTTAGGTTCTTAGTTAGTATAATATTAGATACTAGTAGTATAGGTAAAGCTATTTAATTCCAATAGAACTCTGTAATAATAGGCTCCCAAGGTTAAGAGCTAATAGGAATTATCTTTAGCTAGTCCTTAACTAATTAAAAAGGCTGTATGTTAGAGTTGTAAGAGTTTATAAATACGCGATCAACATGGTTCGATTGATAATACAGGGGAGTTTAGCAAAGGGTTTTGCTGTTAACAGTGGTTGTCCAGTTGTGGATCGTCTATTTACGTCCTAATAAGATGAGACGCGTTGGCGTGGTGATGCTACGATAACGCTGACCACAATTAGCTTAGCGTAACCTTTGTTAGTCCCACGTAGTAGATAGATCCAGGGTAGGAGCCAGCCGCTCTTCAATCGACCAAGTTGCATATAGTTTTCTGCAGTCATGTCAAAAGGTGCCTTGTGCATAGTAATATCACAACAACTCTTGCTTTTACCACAAATCCTTTCTCTCTAGTAACAGACCAATTACAGATCAATTGTACTAAATGACTCTTAATTCGTTCTATAACCCTTCGGAGTCCCGATGTCTATTAGTTCAGCCCAACAATAAGTTCTTTCAAGGGGAGATCCATCCTATTCACGCCCACTGTAATGTGATAAATGATAGACGGGCGTCTTGAATAACTATTAAGGCTGGCGAAGTCTGTGATCTTAAAGTGTCTTGCAGCGCCTGTATTAACCCTAGTTCTGTTGTCCCGTAAACACGAGCATTCTCGCGTATAGCCAGCCACATGCCTTAATGCTATATTTATCAGACCCTGATGTAAGTCCGTTATCATAGGCAAAATGCATCTGGCTTGCAATGAATTATGCTATCAAGAATCATGGGCTGTAATAATCCCAACTAGGACATATCCCTCTTATCTTCTCATATGGTAAACAATAACGCACCGGAATTAACTAACCCTGCACTAGTACATATCTTATAGTAAGGTTTAATATTAGAAAACTATATATATCCCTAATATATAGTATCCTTATAGTATCTTAATATAAGGATAACTATTTACTCTATATATTAAGAGTAGTTTAGTAAGGTATAGTATATTACTAATAGTAATAAATATGTAAAAGCTACTAATATAAAGATAAAGAAAGTAATTAAATTAATACTAGTAAGCCCTAAGTACTTAGACTTAGCAGTCTTTAATATGTTAAGCCTAAGGTACTACTATAAATATATTCTAGAGCTAAATAGAATACCTATAGTCCCTAAGCTTAAGGATATTTAGATCCTAATATAATTACGTTCTTTAAGACCCTATCTTACGTAAGCCTTAGCTTTCCTAAGGATACTCTATACCTTAAGTATACCTCCGTTATTAGCTTGCTAGCATAGCTTAGTTTTAGCAATTCCCACCTAGCTATATTAGAAGCACGGGTAATCGAGCAAAATATCAATATATTACTCACTTCTCCCAAGCTTTGTCTTAATTATTAAGTAATCTTCAACGGCCCGAATAGCCCGGCTTAGTAGAAATACCATTGCTTATACTATTAACATCTACAGCAAAGTCTTGGGCACCTGGCAGTTAAGTTCCAATTGTACCTACGTACTAGGACCAGGGCTTTCTAACTAGACTACTAGTTTCTTATTCCCTCTCTAGGATCCTTTAGGTATATAGGAATAGTTTATTATTACTAGTAACTATTTATATTATCCTATACTTAATACTATTCTTTCCCTACTAAGTTTATTTTATAAAGAAATAGTAAGTATTTCCTTATATTTACTAGATAAATCTTATAAGGTTAAGTAAAATAAGATATTAAATAAGTTAGTCTAGGTACTAATACTACTAAGTATTAACTTCTATTTTTAGTAGTTAAGATTTCTTATTAAGATAAAAATATAAGATATTTCCTTATTTGCTTTTAATACTATAGATTATACCCCCCCTTATACTTATAAATATAAGCTCTTTAGGCTAGTGTAATAGGTCTTAGGTACAGCTAGGTGAATTAAGAAGGTAGGGGTTAATTAGTTATAAGACTAAAACTTGCAGGGTTTATTAAGTATATAGGGATTTCCCTAGAAATACCCCTTAAGAGGGTAAGGATATATAATCTAGGGTTAAGCTATGCAGGGTTAGCTTTAACCTTAAGGTTATAGGTTTAAACCCTATTATAATTATACCTCTCTCTAGGGTTACTAACCTTAGTAACTAAAAACCCTATAATTCCCTACTAATAGCGCTAGTATCTTATAGCCTATTAGCTAAATTACTTTATAGTACTAAGAGATATTACTAACTCTTAATTACCTATATACCCTAATAGCTAGTTATCTAGGTAAATTAAAATTATAAATAAAGATACTTAGATCTCTATAGGTATATAGAAAATTACTTTTAATTTCCTTATAATATTCTCTTTCTTCCTTAGTATATTACTACCTTTTTATTAAATTCTTTAGTTTTCTTTATAAAACTTTATATTCTTCTTTAGTTCTTTATACTTTTACTTTTAATTTCTTCTTAAAACCCTTATAATACCCTCTTAGTATTACTAAAATACTACTATATATATTTACACTATAGGTATATACTACTAGTATATTACTATACTTATGCCTAAAGATACTTTTTATATATATTACCTTTACTTTAAAAAGAATACCCTTTCTACTATAATAAAAAAACCTATTATCTAAAAGCCTATTAAAGTCCTCTTAATTATATATAGCTATATATTTACTTTTTTCTTATATTATACCTATTGTAATAATAAAGGATATATATATAAGCTATAAGTAATTTTTTCTTTAATTAGAAGTATCTTAAGTTCTAATCTAGCGTAAATAGTATATACCCTTTTTTAGCTAGAAATACTATTAATATTCTTCTTTTATCTTACTATATCTATACTTTTTATATTTTACTATCTAAGGGTAACTCTAATTTTAGTATAAGTACCTATATATTAGGTAAGAAAACCTACTAGAAACTAGTAAAAGCTATCTTAAACC